TGTTACTGAATTATTTTTGAATTACTCAAAGATGTTACTGAATTTATAATCCTTTTTTCAATGCAACAGCTGTTAACAAATACAGACTGCCGCTTTGAATTATTCTTAATTGTAAACAAATACAAACTGACTTTTACAATTATTCTCAATTGTAAACAAATACAGACAGTGTGTCGAAGGAACGTTATTGATTTGCCAGTGAACCGATCATCAAACTGCTTTACCATTTCTAAACGGCGTGCCAATCAAGCTCTGCTGCATCGAATTGAAAAAGTGGTAATCAGTAGGCGCGATGGAGCTCGTTTTTGACTTTTTCGAGAGTAAGAATGACTTTTGAGAGTAAAATTTTGCTTTGATTTCCTTAAGCAAAAATATTAAAATGAAATCCACCTCGATTCGCAGTCATATGAGAGTAATTTAAATGAGCGGGCTTGAAAACTACCTCGATTCGAAATATTTTAGTTTGCATGCTCCCACACGATCTGCCACTTCTATATTTCTAGATGTGAATTAATAGAGAGATCCAAAAATATGCACATTTCTTCCAAATAATTTCTATTTATTATCCAGGCATATAAGCCACAAATCTTATATATATACAGTATACGACTGTAAAGATTAAAAAAATTTTAAAACATTTAAATTTTATTCACATTACTTTAAGTTTGTTTTGTTTTGCCGACGGCTTTGCTCTCTGTTAAGTTGGACCTTTGTTTTCTGTTAAGATGGATTTTTGTTTTGTGTTAAATTGCACCTTTGTTTTGCCGACGGCTTTGCATTCTGTTAAGTTTGACCTTTGCTTTCTGATAAGTTGAATCTTTGTTTTCTGTCTTTATTTCAGGTAATTTTTTCATTTTTACCATATTAGGTCCATATCACGTAAAACAGCCGTTTTCATAGTAATGCCAACTTTTAAATCTTATATATTTTTGTAACACGAAAATTATTACAATTACGCAACAACCACATATTCAAACAAACTAATAAATACAATTTTATTTTTGGAATTGATTTCAGATCTGGTAGTTAATTAAGATTAATCGAATTTTGGACTTACCAAAAATTTTCTTGTTCCTTTGCATAGTGTTTAATAACGAACGGTTAAGGGTTTACAATCATTTGCAGTTCTATGTCGTAATTTGAAATTAATGTAATTTTTATCAAAGTTAGTTAAAATTATAAACTTTAAAAATTTCAACACCTTAACGACTGTGTCTCATATATAGGCGAAGGTACGTAGCGTTCAATAACGGGAATTAATCTTAGGTAAAAACGACTTTTAAAAAGTGAAATGCTATTGCTAACAACACTGCTAATCAAAGGTAAGGGAAAAGAACACGAGGGAATATCAAAAAATTAGTGTGCATGCGATATGTTTAAATTAAAACTTGGGATCGGATGAATTTAAATTAGGCTGAAATGGGTTACTTTTAAATTACGAAGGAATGTAGAATGTAATCGCACCTCTAAAAGTTAACTTTCGTTTACGACTAAATCGATAATTGATAAACGTTTTTGTTGTGGTCACGTAAAGCTTTCGTGTCGTTTTCGTTGCTATCACCCATGTGTAAATGAAAAAGTAGAAAAGAGAAGCGAATTTTTGTTTATATTTGTTTGTGGTTTCCAAAATCCAAAATCGTTAAAATAAACTCGCTTTTAGCAAAACGGTGGCGTTAACCATTAAAGAGATTCGCAAATTGGGTGAGAAGGAAATGGTCACTTAGCTTACCACCAGTGGAGTAGCGCGGTAAGCAAACATGAAATTTTAATAAGGGTTGTTGTTTAACTTCATTCTAAATGAATATAAAATACTAAAATGATAAATGATATTTGTGCAAAAAAATTTTTTGACCACTGGAGAATATACTAATCGTAAAAAAATAAATAAACAACTTATAGTATTCAAAGACCCAAAAGTACAAAAGATTTCGAAACAATATATAACAATATATAAGGGAAAAGGAAGTTGTTCAGAGTATAAATGCACCACTCGAGCTCCATTATTTAATTTTACTGGAAGTTTCGCATGCAAACACACATTTGCAAAGTCTAAGATACAAGTGTTTCTGGTTTTCGTTAAGGTTTGAGTTTTGGGAAGCTCTCCTAAGGAGTAGGAGGCTATTGATGATAAAGTTAATGTATCCGGTACGGTAAAGAGCACTTATTATTTGCTGCTCCCTTGCAACAATTTTATAAGTTTAGTTCGCGTATTTTCCAAAACACTAAACATCTAATATTTTTACATAAAATGTTTAACTCATTCTATATGTAGGCCTAGGCTGCTTGGGCGATTCATCGCCACGCCTTGCTAAATATAATCGATTTATTCAATTTATAAACAACGATTAGAAGTATAGCGGAAATTTTAATATGGAAATATCAACATGACAGTTCGGTTTTCGAGTAAGCAGCGCTTAATAACTCGGTCTTTATAATTATGTTTTAATTATTTTCCGTTTTCCAGCTTTATCCTAGAGAAAAATATGAATGGAAAAGAGATGAACTATGGTGACCGTTTCACCTTTTACTGCTTTGCGAAATTCAGCTAAAATCGTGTAAAATTCTCTTCTGAGATCCCTTTTTCATTTAGCCTTATAAAGCTAACATGCAATTGACGCATTTATGTGAATGTTAAAATCGTATCTGTTGCAATGAGAGAGAGAGAGAGAGAGAGAGAGAGCATTTTACTCATTTTCAGACTCATGCCGATTAGTTTTTGATAATTTTGAGAGACATTGGTACAGGTTTTTGGTACAGGTGTTTTTGCATGGTAGAAGATTTGCAACATATTGAAATAAGACAATTTAAATTCATTACAAACAAAGATAATAATAGAAAAAACTTGTAATAAGAATATATATAAATATATATTTTTTCTTGGAAAAGGACTTCCTGGGTAGACCTGAGCATATCTCTCTCTCTCTCTCTCTCTCTCTCTCTCTCTCTCTCCCTCTCTCTCTTTCTCTTTTTTTTGCTGTTATTATTTATACAACTTTTCTATAATTTATATCATTAATTTATAAATGTCGCAGTTTCAAAAAAAAATCATATATCAATCATAGCACGAAATCCTGGGTTATATGAATTGTTTCTACAATTTATTGTAAAAGAATTTGGATATAAAAAACGGAAACGGAAACAGTTCATACATTTGCAAGTATTTACTTATCCTTTTAAACATTTATTTCTTCACAATATTGTATAATAAGACATAAATAAAAAAAATATCTTTATGCTTATATCATAACGAAATTTAAAATTAAGACATTCAATATTCATTATGCCGATAATTTTATTGTTGCTCGCTAATTAAACATGATTTTTCTTGGGACTTTAATGCTTAAAATAATGATTTTCAGATGCTCTCATGATCAATTTTTTGCAATCATCTTTTTTCTTTTGCAAAATCACACGCACACTTTACTTGTTAAAGAAAGTTTATGTAACCACTAATAAAGAATGAAAACCAACCTAAAGGAAAATCGAAGATTACACAAAACTGGTCTTTTAGCTTAAGCTTATTAACGTTGGTGCTGTTGTTGGTATTTTGGGCATAAAGATCAAGAACTGCTGCCGTAACCAACATTTCCTTTCGGAGTAGTAAATAGTTGAGCTCGCATTCTTTAGATATATCCATCTATTAGACACGTCCATCCATCCATCCAAACAAACACACACATATATATACAAAAAACACGTATGAAATGAAACAGAGGCAGAGATAAAGAGGTTAAAGTAGCCTTTGTTTTACACGTCTTTGCGTTGTATATTTTCCTCTTTACAAACGAAAATAAGTATTCTATTTATTTTTAAACAACTACCATATTTTTTTATTTTCTACTTGAATAGCACCACTTTCATCATTATCTTCTGCATTTGAGCTAAGGTAACCAACCTCCGTGTTCACTGGGAAGTCTTGAGATAAAACTATGCTCAGATTTACTTTATTCGCATCGAGTTTTGAATGTTTTTTTATGGAAGCACCACCTTGAGGGAGGGCTTCATTGAATTTTTTAACAAATCTACGAAAATAAGTCAGTTAATGATGGTTCCAACAAAAATTACTTCTTTTCATGCTAATCACATTCCTTCATCGTTATAAAGAAGGGTGTTTGATATATATTTATCTAGCATAATAGGTTATTAAGCGTTATAACGTATTTCATAATACCATATTAGCATTTTAGAATAATTCCATTCAATAATTTGTGAAATACTTCTTAAATTATGCAATTTAAAATTCGCTAGCGTAATTTTGCTATTTACTAACTTACGCCCATACACATAACACATCTTGTATTTTGGAGTGGTGTTGAGTGGATATGCTATAAGACTTTGTACACAATGTTGTGCAACCACCGAACCTCATATTTTCAAAATTGATTGTAAATGCTCTATTAATAAAATAATTGGAATTTTTTAGTTAACTGAGTATGTAACATGAAAATAGTTTGTTCCTTCGTATAAAACACGGCTTAAGCCTCCGATAGATTTTATAAAACTGGCTTTCTTTCCATTTTGATCATAATTCATACAAGTCTGGTTAATAGCGGTTAGTAGAATCTATTAGTTTGGTTACTGGTTACATCTTTCACATTTACAACGGAAATGTTTGGCTATAGCCAAATGTTCATTACGCATGTGAGTGTTTCATAAAATATTAGAATACATAATTTGATGATAACATGTTCGCCTCTATGTTTCTGGGTCAATAATTTTAGCTGGTGTAATGTTGAAATTAGAGGGCTATGGGCTATTAAGGGTAATAAGTTTTATACAATTTGCGGGGTTAAAATATAATTATATTTGAATTTCAATTAGTTTAGTAGGTGGAGTTTTAGTTAGATTAATTTGTTTACGACAAGTTGACTTAAAGGCTTTAATTGCTTATTGATCTGTTGCTCATATAGGGATTGTTTTATAAGGTTTAATAACAATTACTTATATAGGAATTTGGGGAGCTTATACTTTAATAATTGCTCATGGTTTATGTTAATCAGGTTTATTTTGCTTAGCAAATATATCTTATGAATGAATAAGAAGACGGAGTTTAAAGGTATATTAAATTTTATACCTTCAATACAGTTATGATGACTTCTTTTCTACTAATATAGTTGCTCTTCCATCATTAAATTTATTTGGTGAAATTTCTTTAATCAATGGAATTGTAGCGTGGTCTTGGGTTATTATAATAGTGTTATCTTTATTATCATTTTCTAGAGCTGCTTATACTTTATATATGTATATACTTAATATATGTATAAAGTATACTAGTCTATATGTATATATGTATAAAGTCTACTATTTTGCATTTCACAGACCTTACAGAAGTATAACACAAGCTCGTTTATACTTCTCTATGAATTGAAAGTGATTGCACGTATTTCATGGCAAAAATCATATTAGCGAACAATAATAATAGCAAAACGAAAAAAGGGACGTTGCTAAACAATAGTAGTAGTTCTTAAAACTAAACCATTAAGGCAATGTGCATTATGTAACATGAAGCAAAGATAGGTTCATCTCCTTAGCAATTGTAAACCACCTCTATTTACTCCCTGCACCATTTGTGGTGCAAGAATATTTGAAGTTTTTGCGGATGTATGCAATGCTAAAACGTACTTGATATAGACTCTCCCTATTTTATATCGATCGGCACACTTTCGGGATTAATCTAAGCTTTGTGCGCCTGTCTGTCGACCTATAATTCGCAAGTTTTTGGTTATTTTGAAGAAATTATAAAAGCTATTGAAAATGAACCATCTTTTCTATCACTTCCCGTATTAAACCTTATTTCGAAGAGTCGTTTTATAAATAAACGTGTTAAGCCAAGTACTTTACGGCGGATCGTGTTCTAATGCAGCGTTTTTATCTTTTTCTTTGTAAAATTTTGTAAAATGAAATAAATTATGATTTATTTCACATATCATATTTTTATTTCTCTGATGTAATAAATATAAAAATAGAGAACATGATATTATCTAAAGACGTCTCATCAGTCTTGTAAGAATAATTGTTAAAACCGATTATAGCTTTCTAATGCTTATCATTTCGTTGTTTGCGCATGGATTACTTCGGTTGTTCATGTGAATCGAGATTCGGTTTGAACATTTCTGCAAATAAAATATTCTCTTCCTCGCGTTACGTGACCACATTTTGAAAGACTGAAAGTTTTAAATTTGATGTGCAAATGTATTTACAAACATTGTTACATTTTTCATGTACATACTGAGAGTAAAATCTTCTGCTAAAAGTGAAGTAAACAACTTTAGCGTTTTCTTATCTTTTGAAGTATATATCCATAGTCCAGATTTTTAAAATTACGTCAATCTAACGGATTGCTTTCGGAGAAGGTCATAGGTATTTATAAGTACCTAAACTTAATTTAGAAAAATTTGGAGTTTCTAAAAATTTTCGTTAGTAATCTGATAAAAAGTGCCATTTTTTTAAATTTTTGTCGATCTCATGAAGATTTTCCCGAAAAATCTAGTCCAGACGTTCGTCAGGACCCGAAATCGGCTACTAGTACGTCCCCAGTTCGCGATAAAATTTTAATTATGTAAGAATAGGTATATGTAAAACATTGGCTGTTCTAGTTTTAAATTAGTAAGAAACTTATATCCGCGTTTTCATGCGGCAGGCAAATCCTTGCAGTGTTATTGCAAAAAATGTCGTTACTTTCTTGGTTCCATTTCAATTACTACGATTAACAAAGGGATCACAATTTACCGTAGTAGCGGCGGAAAAGGAGCGTAAACTAATATTTCGATTGATAATGATATTAAATTATTTGAATAAATTATTTGAATAATATTTACTCAAATTTTTAGAAACTTTAGATAGAAATTTGTAGTTGATTTTCATTTTACAAAATATGTGTTTGCATACATTCACCGGTCGGCCTTTCGCTATGCACACACATAAGCGGAGGTCGACGAAAATATTAATATATTTGGAGTTGGAGCATACACACTCATTTTGTATGTTTTTGAAACATTGAATGTAAAAAATGTAATGTAAATGGATGTAAAAAAAACTAAAAGCAGACTCAGGCGAGTCCTACTGTTATACACCGTACTTTGCCTCGTATTTAATCACATCAGATGACTTGATGCAAATTTTGCAAAATTAATTTACTTTCTAAAAATGGTACTCTTTTCCAGTTTTTTATTATTTTCAGTAGAAATGGCATTTTTCTCCATAATTTCTATACATGTTAAGTCCTCAAGATGTGCCTAGGTGAAACCAAATTCCTACCGTTAATTTTTTTGCTAAATTGCTACTGTAGATACCATTTACCATAAAATATTAAAAATTAAATATCTTCCTAAAACTTAACTCGGTATAATAAAAGGGTCTACTTCCAGCTCTTCTCCCCTGCGTCTGCGCAGACTTAACATAAGGTGTACCACAAAGGGCCGTAGGGTATAAAAAAATAGGCTGCCAAAAATTCGAAATTGCTATCTAGTTGTAAGCTAACAAAGGGAAAATTCATTAACACTATTTCGCCGACCATGCGTTATCTATTTTCAATGTTTCCAATTCATTCCGAATTCTGGTATAAGCGCCTCTCTCTCTTTCTTCTCTACACACAAGTGCAATATTATCCTGCCTCCTTGCCCGTCAGTGTCTAGCTGATATAAGAATATTATACATAA